CGACATATTAAAAAGTTCTCCGAGCACAATTACAGAACTCTGTAACAAATGCAAACGTACCTAAATTGAATTAGAAAATAAAAAACCTGTGCTGATTGAATTAAAGTTTTTTTTTTCCTGTATAATGATAATTATTATTATTGTTATTATTATTATTTTTAATATTGATTTATTTATTTAAAGTTGAAATAAGTGCTGATACGTCGCACGTCTTAGATTCATAATTTCAGTTACCAAACTTTCAGTAATCAAACTATGGTAATCAAAATTCTGTAATAAAACATGTAATAAATAAATTTTATATTTTATTTATAATAATGATAATAATAGTAGTACATGAACCGAAAGGTCCACTGATTAATCTCGGATATGATAGTATAATATATAATCCAAGTATCGAAATACACGCTAACGTGTCTCGATTTAATATTTCAATATTAATTATGTCATCATCAGGAATGAAAAATTATCCTTATTTGCAAGCTTATATGCACAAGTACCAAAAGTGATTGACCAATCATAACATAACCCCTAATAGTTGACATAGTTATGAATAAACTAAAGATCAAAGCATTCTTACCCTACTGATTGAAGCTACCTACAAAAACAAAGAAAGCTCCTTTGAAGCATTCAGCCCATTATTAAGCAATGGGTGAAGCCTACATATAGCAAACGCTTCTTTGAACAATAGTATAGACCAACTATACTATTGTTTAAAGGTTATTGTAGGTAAACTTGTCAAGCGAAAGCGTCGAGCGTCACGCGGCAAGCGAAGCGAATCGCGCAAAGTTCATAATAAATAAATAAATAAAGAATGTCTCGCTTCCAATGTTTCGCTTGCCTGTTCCCACTGCTGACTGACAGACCGCGCGCAAAAACTCGAAATGGCGGGTGGCAACAGAGAAGGGATTTTGTTATCGCATTAATAGACGGAGGAAAAGGGCTGTGAGACGAATCAGATAAAATCCTCAGGATTAACATTCCCAGAACTCTATAATGAATGAAAAGAGTGAATATAAACATACGGTAGTTTTTTTTTAGTATATTTATTCATTCAAGGCCTAGAGCTAGGCCTCCTAAGGGTAGATAGTAGGCCTAGCCTACCCTACCCTACTGTAGGTCTCAGGTAGTAGCAGGGTCAGAGGCCTAGGCTGGACAGGCCTAATACTGGTAGAAAGAGGAGATAACTCAACTCGTCTCTGCAAATCCTTTTCCACGCATTGTCACATATTTTCTTTGCTCCCTTGTCACAGACCTAAACTAGGGTAGCCTACTGTTCCACAGAGTTTGCATGAAACGGACTCGTCGGTCATCGCTCGCACATCTGTATCGATCTGTACATTGTTTTGACAATGTCGTGACTTTATTGTTGACCTTTGACATAAATTGAATCTAAGCCTTGCGATTGGTCCATCGGCGGCGAATTCGCTCGCGAATCCGAAAAAGTTGGTCTTGGATCAACTCTTGTGAATTCGCAGGCGAAGCCTCCGCGACCACCGCGCGCACCGCGTCGAAGTTCGAATATTGGGCGTTCGCATGTTCGACTACAAATTCGTTTGCATGTTCACATTGGAAACGCCAGTCGCGTCTTCAATTCAGCCGCGCGCGCCACATTTCGACGCGAAATTCGCTTGATCGCGTTCAGTGGGAACCGTCCTTTAGAGAGTACACTGTACAGTGTTTACCCGAATAATTATTTCACTGACGCGTTTACTAAAAGTTGATCAGTTAAAAAAATATTTGTGTGTCTACATAGTTCGGGTGCTCAAATTAAACGTACCTTCAAACTCAAATTCTACGTGGCTTTATTATTTTCGCTTTTTGTCCTAGTATTGTCAACAAACACTTCCTGAAATCGTTTTAAAAGAGCCTAAATTGCTCAGATTGTCGGAGTTCCACTGGTCATGCCCCCGCCTGAGCTCCATCCCTGGACCTCTCTCCTCCTGTCTCTTATACACATCTCGACAGCCAATGGGTGTAGTCAATCATGCATTTCAAATCTGCCAGGTTGGTAAATGCATCTAGTAGCACTGTAATAATATATACAAGGTAGTCTCAGTCTATATGCGTAAAATAAATTAATGATCTCCTGGGCTTCGGCCTACTAGTTCTATGGCTTTGCTAGTAACTACAGACAGGTCGAATAAGGGCCTATTTGTTACATATTCTGTGACCTCATTTGGGCCTAACAATTGTATTTGCACAAAGAACTCCCCAAAACACCAATAAAACACATCGTTATATGTAATTGTATTCATCTCTGTTACCGTTGTTGATTAGGCTTCGCAACACGCGACGGCAGCGATCAGAGAGCGAAAAGCATAGCTAGCCCTTCAGGGGCGGATTCAGGATTTGAAAGAGGGGGGTTCAGAATTTTTCCAAAAAACGCGAAAATTTATTTATTTATTTATTTAAAACCATTTTTTGAGTGAGCGACCTTTACAGAGTAAATCTGATGTTCAGGGGCCCACTTAAATACAAAGATATAAAAAGTTATAAAAAGTATATAAAAAATATAGTCAATCTATCAAAAATGAAAGGAGTCCGGGAGTCCTCCCCCGGCAAAATTTTAATTCCAAGACGGCCGGTAATGAGCTTTCCCGACTTCTGAGATGTCTTTTAATTTCTTCAAAATTCAAGGTTTTACACCTCTTAAAAAAAGGTCAGGTGATTTATCTCATTCTTAGGCCTAACATAGAAGAAAATTAAAGATAGAGTCAATACATTATTAGGCCTATATTCCAACAATATTGAGTATTTGGATACATAGTCTTTCTTATAGATCGATGAACCGATAGGCCCGAAGAACACACTTTCGTACATAAATTATTACGACGTCGAGCCAATAACAGTGTTTTTATATTGTATTAAATTGAATTCTAGTTGGATTAGGCCTTTGCCAACCTATGCCTAGGTAGGTGACCATGCCTTTTGTTAGCCAGGACTCAGTAGTATTTTGTTACATTTCTTCACAGAGAGGGGTTCGTCCGAACCACTTGAACACCCCCCCCCCCCCCCCCCCCCCCCCCCCCCCCACACACACACCCACACACACAAACACACGAAAACACCAAAAAAACGTGACACACACACAGAAACTTACACGACTGAAAACATATATCTCCTGGCGGAGATAATAATAACGATAGGAAAGATAGCAAACATAATGTTCCCCAATTGGTCTCGGGTCAAATCCCGGTTGGGGCAACGTTTCTAGGGAAATCGCTCTTAGACTTGAGTTTTGTTAAAGATGTATTGTCCCATTCTACTTTTTAATTACATCAACCTCAAATTTTCTATCATTGGTCTCTCTGAGACATGGTTAAACGACCAAAAAAATAATCCATTTTTAGAAGGATATAATTTTTTATCTTGTAATCGTATTGGTCGAACAGGGGGAGGGGTTGGATTATTCGTTAAAAATGAAATTAATTTCAAGTTAAGACATGATTTACATTTGCCAAAAGAAATATGTGATTCCCTCTTTATTGAAATTCTTAACAAGAATGCATTAGACTGGTTTACAAGTTATCTTAATAATAGAAAGCAATATGTTCAAATTGGTAACTGTAAGTCGACATCAAGAAGTATTTTGCGTGGTGTACCACAGGGGTCCGTCTTAGGACCCTTATTATTTCTTATTTACGTTAATGACTTACCATTGGCTAGTGATATTTTACACACTGTTTCCTTTGCCGATGATACTACCATATTTTATTCTAGTAATAACTTTGATTTATTGTTTAACACATTTAATTCTGAATTAAGCAAGATTAGCAATTGGTTCATTACAATTAAATTATTAATTAACACAACTAAAACAAATTTCATTATATTTCACAGCCGTGGTGTTTGTCATAAACTTAAACACAAAATATGTGATGTTTTTCTAAATGGCAAACGGCTTGATAGAAAAAGTGAAGTATCATTTCTTGGTGTTTTAGTTCATGAAAACTTAAATTGGTCTAGCCATCAACAAAGTGTAGCAAATAAAATCTCAAAATACATTGGTATAATAAGCAAACTGAAACATTTTTTTCCTCTAAGTATTTTAGTTTCTTTATGCAATTCGTTTATTTTGCCCCATTTATTAAATTGCAACATCATTTGGGCCGCAGACTATCCCTCAAATTTACAAAGAATTCTTATATTACAAAAATGGGTTGTTCGGTTAATTACATCTTCACCATTTAAAACTGCATCTGAACCTCTATTTAAAAAACTTAACATCTTAAAAATTAGTGACCTTCATAAACTCCAGATTACTTATTTTATGTTTCAATATGTGAATAATTTAGTACCTGTATCAATCACATTGCTTTTCTCTAACCGTGTAATATCTCATTCTTACGGTATTAGAAATCCAAATATATTACAAGTCTCTTTTGTTAAACTTACTAAGAGTCAATTTTTTATTACATTTTCAGGTCCCACCATATGGAATAACCTAGATAAAGATATTATTATAAATTGTAAATCCCCGAGAGCATTCAAAAGTCACATGAAAACAATATATTTATCTAAGTACAGGTCTTCTGACTGACTGAATGATTTGCGCTAACTCTAATTATTTTTCTCCATTATTTATTTATTTATTTTTATTATTTTTTTCTATTCTATTTTTTTAGGGGTCAATATGAGACAAGTTCTACTTCTAGTTTTGATCCATGTGATGGTCTAATTTCGCATTTTTTAATAATTTTAAGAATATAATTTTTCATATGTATGTTTTTTTCTTATGACCATTACGAAATAAATGTTACTGAATGAATGAATATAAATCAAGATAACCGACTGTTATTATATAAGAAATGTAAATACCGTACGGCTGGAAATAAATTGTAGCGTACCGATTTACGCATAAATATCGTAAATTCAACAAAACACAGTCCAGGGATAAATATATTCATATTAAAAGTATATTGTTTTGGCGATACTAGTAATTTTCTGAGTAGAAGCTAACAAAATAATTTTCGATAAATTACCAAAAACGTGTTTACCTGTTTTACTTATCCCGTATTTCTGTAGTACCGTACGGCAATGTTCTGCTACTTTAGGCCCAACCAAAGCGCAATCATCGACGACTGACTAAAGTATTAACCCTAACAGTGTGTTTATATACGGTCCGTAGTGGGAGGAGCAATACTATAGCATGCGTATATAAATACCATTAATGGGTGTTATCAAAATGGCAAAGAGTGTATGCAAATTATCTAATTATTTTTCTACATTATCATTGGCACGAAAAAATCCCTCTGTATCTTGAATAAAGCGATGTAAGAAATAAAAAAGTTGTGTGAAAAATCACGCATGCGCTTTTTGCATTAGGTTTACCCAGAGCTACGCTTGATTTCAATCATTCAAGAACCCTGGTCACAGCCTGATGTTAGCGATAGAATAAAATTAAATAGTTTATTTTTAACAGTCTATATAGGCCTAGGTTTGACGTTAGTCCAATTTTAACTGATTATGAAAGTAGTATAATATTTAGTGAAATATGTTTTTGAATAAATATTTTAAATATTACATTCAGCAATCGAAAATGATATCTCATAAGGCTTATAAGATATGTTTATGTCGTATTATAATACAGAAGGACAGTGTAGCCAGGGAGGAACAATATGTCTGTATAAAGTTTGGCAGTGCATTCCCAAATAGGACTACTCTATGTTTATAAGAACAGGGAGCTGTTCTTTTGAAGTCACAAGTGGATTATTAATTAAAAGGTGTACATTTTATTTTTCTGAAGACTTGTGTTATTTACTGTTTCTTAAAAAAAAAACACACACACACACACACACACAAAGATGTATCATTGTTTTATGATTCAATTTCTAATAATTAATGATTAAAGTAGAGAATCAGGGTGTAGGTTGTAGTATGATTGATGATTGAATCCCATAAAGCACACGCAAATTAAAACAAATACAATTCCATAATTATGTTCAAATTTGGCACGATATTCATACGAAGTAACACATACAGCGAGGTCATATTGAACCATATCGATGTCCATGTTCGATCAAGGTGTTAAATTTGTGGATCAGAAGTTGTTAAAATGACAATACAAATTAAATATTATTATTTTAGTTGAAGTGATAACAAATTTAGTGTCCCTTATAGGGGTTTAAATGTGTTGATGTGAAGAGATAGAGAAATGAGAAGATAAGAGGGTTCCCTATTGTTAAATTATTTCTAATCTTTATCAATTTTTATTAAATATTTTGTACTACTATATTGATTTTCACATTTCCAGTAGCCTGAATGTTGTTCATTTCCCATTAATGTATTCTGGCGTTACTTAGTTATCGATTTGACGAATACTGCTGTTTGAAATCTTCGTTTAACTGTTCAATTTACTGCTTAACCCACAGGTAGTAGCTGTGAGCTACGTAGCAAGCAAAGCTCGCCTCAATCATAAATTATTCATGAAGTGTTCAATTGTCATGATAAAAAGCTATGTCGTACCAATTAAAATACAGAACAAAGTTTGAATTGATAAATGATGTTAGGACTACTGTTATATTTAGTAAAACAAGACGATAGTTTGTTAAAATATGAATGTACTGCAAATTGTTTATGAATTGTATGTTAAACAGTAATGTATTTTTGTGATGTAATGGTATTAGAAGTCGTGTTCTAATATTCAATCTCTACTATAACTATTACTGGAACAAGTAAGCTTCTGTTGGAAAACCATTAACATAAACGAACTGAACAAAAAAAAATAATTCTCAAATAACGACAACCAAAATACCGCTTTTCTCTTTTTCTCTGTATTCCCGTATTTCTCTCACACTCTGAGTTTATTTTTCCAGCCCACTAAAGTTCAGTAACACAGCATAAAAATCAATAAAAGAGTAATTTAATAAAGCAATAATATGAAAACTAAAAAACATAGCCATCATTCAAAATGAAATAGACAATCAATACGAAGGAATACGAAAGATTACAGCAATATTTCAATTAATAACGTTATAGTTTATTCTACCTAAATTAAACCAAACTACGCTTTATCAATCTCGTAAAACCTTAATGTTCTTTATGGTTACTGACATAAACGTACAATAATATAAAATAAAAGAAAAAAAAATCATCAATATAAAGGAAGGCAATCAATAAAAAGTACAGCAGAATACAAGAACCCTTTATTATAGTCCTAAACCGTAATAATTATATAGATGGCGTTTTTAGCCACAAAAGTAAACCACACTGCGAAGGAGCTAAACGAATTTAGTGATTTAATCCTATAAATTATTAGTTTTATTGCAAATTCTATGATAATATTATCCACATAATCCATGTTTTCAATGTTTTAAGTATTTAAACAATAGTAGACCTAACGCCGGATAGAAAAGAAAGAATAAAATTGATTCTTAGAAATTGGCATCAGAAAGTGGTAATTTTCTCAATCGCGATTTTCGCGTACAGTGTTTGTCGGTTCGGAGAAACAGCAATGATAAGCATATAATTATAATGAATATATTAACAATGATAATAATAATAATAATAATAATAATAATAATAATAATAATAATAATAATAATAATAATAATAATAATAATAATAATAATAATAATAATAATAATAATAATAATATGTGTGCGTGGGGCTATTATTAGAGTAAGGCGCTATACAACTGTGCAAGAAAGTGGCCTATTGAAGTTCTAGTATGATTTGTTCTAGACTGATACTAACATTGTGACTACAATTTATTTAGTCACCCAATGGGTCTAAATGAAACCTTTTGTAAAGGTCTTGTAAAAAATGATTAAATTTTTGTGACGATCCGCAGTATGGTGTAGATCTGAGGACCATTGAAAGGAAAACGTCTCAACGGATCAACTGATTTGAATAAAACATTCGGAAAAAAGTTTAACCAAGTTACAAGGAAGATGAGTATTATGTGTTAGCGACGAATTAGTGAAGGGTGTAAACTGGAGGGTCATTTAAATTTTTGAGATCCTAGACATAAATATCTATAAAAAGTTTTCAATGGGTGTAAATAAAACTTTCTATAATTGTTTGTAAAGGACCAGTAAAGAAATTACTGAATTTTTATGATGATCCGGTGTAGGGTGTGAATCAACGGCGGCGGAAGTGGTGGGGGATGGCAGGGGGTGGGGCCATTGGCCAACACACTTTTTCTACTGGGGGGGCTGCTCCCCCCCCCACTTTTGTGAATGTTCCGTTCACCAGTGACAAACATTTTACGAACGCTGCAATGTCATTACATTATAATAATAATAATTATTATTATTATTATTATTATCATCATTATTAACATCATCATCATCTTTACCATTATCATTATTATTATCATTGATATTGTTATTATTTGGTGATTAGACACCTTGTTTATTTGCGCCTTTTAAATTGACCTATTATTATCATTATAAAATATAGATTTTTTTTTTCATTATTCCTCTATCGAGCAAAAAAAAGTTCCCTTTTTGAGTTGAGCAACCAAATGTTGATTGACGAAAAGAATATGTTATATGTCTCTTTAATACTATCACTGGGGTACGCCCTATTCAGAGGACACTAACCAAAGAAACGTAAAACTGTCCGCTTAATAGGGGTTTTTTGTATGTTTTCATACAACGACGACATGCATTCTTTTTTATTATTCTTATTGACATAGAACCAGTTACAGTAGAATTAGAAAAAAAATTATAGCAATAATTTGCAAGGCAAATGTTATTCATTTATAACATGAAATCAATAAAATGCAATTAAGGAACATTCTTTCTGTTGGATGGATGTAGCATGAATAGAGTAACGACTTAGAATATTTTTTTTAAGAATATGATGCCTAGAAAGGTTCATGAGTATATATGTCATGAGTAGTAATGATATGCATTATGAAACTATAGTCAATTAAAAAGGGTAGGTCTACAGAGTTAAAATTGACAAGATTGGTATATACGTATTGACACATGCACTAGACATATACCGATGTTCACTCTAATGATTGAAATTTTGGTTTATTGCTCATAAAGTTTCAAAATAATATTTCGTTCCCTCGAAATATTATTTTGCTCCCTCGAAATAATATTTCGTTCTAACGAAATATGATATCGCTTCCTCGAAATAATTTCGTTCCCTCGAAATATTATTTCGTTCCCACGAAATATTATTTCGTTCCCTTGAAATAGTTTAATATTGTTTCTAACTATATCCCTTTAAAGGCTCCTTAAGTTACAAACTGTTGGATGCAAAAGAAATAAAATAATCATTATATTTCACTTGATTCATTATTATTAAAGTATTGCTGACCTACAATCATATAAGAATTTGAGTAAGAACAAAATGAGTCCTACCTGAAGAAAGTTGACAACGTGTACCTAAAAACGGTGGAGGTGCTGCTATTATCATTGAAGGCACTAGATTACTAAGAGGTGACTTTATTGCAAACTGTTTCTAACTGTATGTAAAACAGTAATCTGTTTTCTGAAGTATAATGTCGTGTTCTAATATTCAATTATTACTATACACTAAAATTGCCTAATAAGAAGAACCAAATGTTACCGCTTTTTCTCTCTGTATTATTCCTTCTCTCACACACACTGGGGTTATTTTCTAGCCACCAAAAGTACAGTAATACAGCATGAAAATCAATAAAAGAGTAATTTAAAAATGAATTAGGCCCTAATATAAACATAAGCCATAGAAATTCGAAATGAAAAAGACAATCAATATAGGATATAAAAGTATACAACAATGTTTCAATTCATAACTTACCGTTTTTAATGTCGTAAAACCTAATTGATACAAAAGTATAACGATGACGTTTATTCAAACTAAAAAACTTACTGTATTCAATGTCGTAAAACCTAATTGTTCTTAATAAATATTGACATAAAGGTACAATAATATGAGATTAAAGACAAAAAATCATCAATATAAGAGTAACAAATTAAGTCAATCAATAAAGAAGAACAAAAGAACAAGAAAACGCTTTGTTGTAAGGAATGCTTTTAGAGGACTATGTAACAATAATATCTAGCGTCATTTGCCAGAAAGCCAACCAATCTGTAGCTTAATGAATTAGTGA